ACGGCAGGGGGCGCTAGCAGGATCACGGCCGCTCCTAGGGCCCGCTCCATGACATTCAGATTTAAAAAAGTAACTTAAAATTCATATTTTTCCATGATTTAAATGGAACACAGTGGTCCCTGATAATGAGATGCACCAAAATTCAGAGTTCCAAATACCTTACTAGCAAGGGTAGCATATTTCACGGCAAATTCTCTCCAGGTTTGTCCTTTGCTATGCCTTTCTGTTCTCTGATAGTAAAATATGAGGGGAAATGCTACTACTGTTGTCTTTCAGAATGATTATCTTCCCCCCCGGATACTTTAATTTAACTGACATGAACAATAAAAGCGATAACCGGGGTTAGGTAAATTTCAGCAAGGGAAAAATAACAGACAGCTATTGTGAAATCCTGACTTACTCACTATGCAGAACTTTAAAAACAAGAAAAAAACAAAGCCAAAAAACCTTGCACATATTTTCTTACCACACCTTAACCCTAACTGTATAGTTCAAAGTCCAGTTATAGGAAGTTTTTTCAGATATGACAACTAATTACTTATCTGTGGTCTTAACATATGATTTACTCATACTTTAGGGTTTTTTTCCTGGAGTGTAAGAAAAATGCCATCTTTCATTATGCTTGATTGCAAAATGAGAGCGATAAGTGTGAAATTATTTTTAATGGAATCCACTTGCTCATCTTGCAGGAAGCACTTACCCATGATTATATGTGCACTTTGACAAGAGTGGAGTTTTTACCTTGATTGTCACTCACTGTCTAATTAAATTCAAGACAAGGAATGTCTCTTAGTAAGATTGGGGTTATTATTTTTTATGTGGCATGATGACATTTTTTATATATGTTTTGGAAAATTGTATGGCATTCTACTTACCTAAAATCTTGCCAAGTATGAGAGATTTGATTGCATTGAATTCTGTACCTGAAGACAGAATAAATTTCATCCTTTCATTTTGGTTAATCTGCAATATTGTTCCGTGAAAAAAATAAAGGTCGAATAATGGAAGAAAATTCATTTGGGATGTGTAGGAAGGGGAGAGAAAGAGGTAAAAAAGAAAAGATAGTCTTGTTAATTTTCCCATAAATGTTAGAAAAACAATTCTCAAAGAGCAAATCAATCAGTTAAAGGAAGTTCAGTTTTACAGACAATTTGACCTAAGTCCCTCAGAACACTACAGACAATTTGACCTAAGTCCCTCAGAACACTAAATGTGACTGAGATACTGTTTTAAGTATCTGAGCATCCCCACCTTAGTTTTATTTTTCTTACCAATTTAGATTATTCTTTTTTCACATATAATCTGAATATAATTGGTAAGCCCTATGAAATCATGCCAAAGACTTTTCTTTTTTAAGACAAAAGTTGGCATTTAGCTCCAAATGCAACTTTAAAAAATGAAACATTACACTGTGAATGCTTTGCTCTCAAAGCCCTTGGATAAACTGTCTGCTTTCAAAGGTGATGATAGTACATAACTGTACACATGCAACACTTCCCTTAATGTATTGCTTGATTTGTAACATTCAAATCATCAGCATTTATTATACAATTGGGCTTTCTTCCAATACCAGAGTCAAGAAAAATGAATTATGTTAGCTAGCCTTCCAGTTTTCTTAGAAATCATGAAACACAGTAGACAAGAAACATAGCTTCCTAGCATTTTCTCTTATTCCTAAAAAAAGAAACGCTGTGCACCTTAACATCCCAAATACAATCCCTTTACAAATTAGGACCAATATATTATTATAAGTTATCATTTAAGGGCAATAGTATTAGTCCTGTTCTCCTATTCTTTAAATAAATAGAAGAGAAAACCAAAAACAATCTTCAAGACCCACATTCATACAGTTTAAGCTGAACTAGAAAACCATTTATTGCCTATTGAAATTAAAGGAGAAGGAGGATCTGACCTTTTAAAATAGGCAAGGTGAACATCAAAGACATCTTTTAGCCCAGACTTTCACTGTTCAGCAAGTCTGCTATACTTTGCTTTATTTCCTTAAGCTATTAAAAAACAATATATGTTGGGATACTACTTTTATTGTATTTATTTATTTCATTTTGCTTTAGGTCTTGTACTCTTCGATGACAATCCACTTTTTTTGCTTAACCGAATTACCTCTACAAAGAGCATCTCTTCCTCTCTGTTAATCTTCACGTGGTGAAGCTGCCCGTCGGCCATGCTTTTGAAATTGATGCTAAAGACATCAGGATCTTGATGGCTATCTAGCTTGTACCTGATCTGTAAACTTCCTGAAGGGATTGAGTAAATGATATTTTAGTTTCATGCGTACAGTATGTACAAAATAGCTAGTGTAGATCATATCATATAGAATAATTCTGTTTTTCAGGTGTGCATTTATAAAGTCGTACTAATGTCTGATTTACGTAACAGACACAAGAAAAACACAAACATGAAACAAAAGAAAGTAACAGAAAACCATGACTGACTTGGACTATGGAGTTAAACTATTCCATGGGCACATCTACACATATACTTTAACGCCCAGCAGACTATTAGTGCAGCCTAAATATGTCTTAATTTAGTACCTCACATTGGAGGTACTAAATTTAATGTGAATTAGAAAAGGCGCATTGATGCACATGTAGATGTGCCCTATGAGTGGTGAATTTTTACAATTTAGTCTGAAAAGATAATTATTATGGTATTTCATACCAAGACTGTTGCAACAAATTAAAATTGTACCACCATAAGAGTTGGTACTGTTCAACAGTCAAAATATTTTAAAGGTTCAAAAACAATCTAACAATTGATACATTGGTGGGAAGTAAAGTTTTATATAATATATCTCCCCATTCTCTGATACTTACAATAAATCTGTGCTTGTTTGTCAAGAATTCTGAACATTAAAACCCACAGAGTTCATTGTTATTTTATGGCTGTGTACACACATTCAGATTAACTGGGAGAATTCTCCCAGGTTTATTCATGGGCCCTGAAAAGTACAGAGCTTGCAGTGATGACACTGTGCAGCTGCAGGGAGAGAGAAGGGGGTAGGGGCTGCGCACACATCTCAGTGTGATCTGTAGGCTCTCAGTCTGCCTGACAATAGATGTCAGCAATGCATAAGGGAGCGCTGAGTCAACCTGCATTGCAGGCTGTCTCTCTCTGCAACACAGTGTGGTGATTGTAAAAGGGGTATGTTCTGCTTCTTCCTAAAGCAGCAGAGTCCAACACTGTATCCCTCTGGGGTGGAAGAATGCTGGAGGACTATGTTCTCTTCTGAGAGAAGCTATGGTATGTATAGACATTCGCTCTCCCAGGAGAAACTGTCCTGGAGTGATTTAACCCTGGTTGATCCCAGGTTATTTTTCTCCCAGAGTGGCCACTTTTATGCTGGGAGAAAATCCCTGTACTATGGTTTCTCCTGGAAAAGCAGTGACTACCCCAAAAGAAACTGAAAGTCTGTACAAAGCCTAATAAGAAATGACTGTATGAGAAGACCTTATAGGCCATGACACAGAACTACATCGTATGAGGTACCAGAGACTCTTTATTAGTCACAGAAGTATTAGAACTTTTTATTTATTAGAAGACAAATTAGATATGTTTAATTTTTCTATTCAGTGGTAGTAGGGCTAGATCCACTAAAGGATTTGAGTACCTACAAACCAAATGTCTGAATGACTTGCATTTAGGCTCCTGATCCCCAAAGCTATGTATCTAGATCTGAGAGTTCACAACCTAAGGTATGGACAGGCTTCACATGTTGATTATCCTAACCAAAGTTTGGGTGATATAAATGCCTGGCTGTGCAAGCACTGACAGGGCTTAGGTCACCCTAAAAAATTTTGTGCCCAGTCAAAAGTTAGTTTTCCTAAGATGTGAACTAAGTTTAGATTAGCATGGGGTTAACACAACCTAGCAAAATGACTGCCTTGGTCTAGAAAATGCTTGCACACATTCAGCCCCAGGGCTCACACATGCTTGCACAGCACAGCCCCAGGGCTCAGAAAGCCCAGCCACTCTCCACAGTCTCAGGACTGTGGTGTTGTTACCTCCTCACCTTGACTGGGTTCCTTTTCCCATTTGATTAGCCCTGTCATGGATCTGCCAAGTCTTCTAAATCCAATTCCCCTCCACCCCTGCCCCCACTTCTCCTCCTTAACATGCTACTGGCTGCCCACACCTCCTCCAAGCAAATGGCAAATGCTTACATGCAAGGATCCTGACTCAGTTCTAGATGGCTTAAACTAAGTCACCTAAATCTTAACTGTGTCCACAGAATGCTTGTTCACCCCCTTAGGCTTGTGAAATGCAGCAGCTAACAGGAAACAAGAACACATGGATATATCTGCACTCTCATCATTCTCCTATAAAGCATAAATGCTGCTAATCACAAGGGATATGGAGCCTGAAATAATCTCCCAAAGATGTAGGTGTCTACTTCTATTATTAGATAGAACTGAATAGGTCTTGTTGTTTTATTTGGCAACAGGATCGTTCATGGGGCTAGAAAGAGGGGCCAGGCTCTACAGATTAATGATGAGGGCACTCAGCTTATAGGAAGATAAAAACAGATCTCTGCTCCTAGGTTTATTTCTGTATTTTATCCACTTATGGTTAATATAAACTGCCCTGGAAGCAGGGATGTAATCCAGGACTCTGCAAGTCCCAGTTGCATGCTCTAAATACTAGCCTGCATAGCTGCACTCCTTCTTGCACCTTCTCTTCATTCAAGCAGGTAATGTAGAAAGTAGCTGGTGGATAAGTCTACTTAGTCAGAGGAGATGACTGAACTCCAGTGTCTCACTTCTTAGACAAAGGCTCAGTGCCTAAGTTATTGTATATAACATGGGCGGTGGCATCACATTTAAAAATGTGTATTTTGGGAGTGTTGGTGTGTTAGACATGGCCTACATTCTCTTTGGGGGCTCTTTAGAGGACTCTGGGTTTAAGTAGTAGACAGGTACAGAGATGTGCTGATCAGGGCAGAACTAGGCAGGCCCAAAAGCAAAACTCTAGGCATCTGGAGAGCTTTCAGGTAAAACAGAGAAACACCAAATAAGTTCAGAAAGCCAATATTCAGAGGTTTTGAGGTTGCAGTGTTTGACTTAGGCTTACTTTAGGCACCTAAAGCATTTCTTGGTCACAGCTCATAAATATTGCCCAAACTATAAGACACACACAGTCATCTAAAATAGAGAGACGAGCAAAAATTTTAGAACAAAGTTACTAGACAAAACTGACTGCTCGCCTAAGTTGGCAGAAGTCCACTGATACCATTTTTTTGCAAAGAGTGTACCTCACTGACTTTATTAGTCTCCCAAAATGCTTTGGAGTTTAGTGTGGAATAATTTGGTCTGAAATTTAGATAAACATATTGTAATATTGTTTATCACAAACTTACATGTGCATGACATTTTATACTTTGCATGCGTGCAATAGTAACCATCTGTCAGGCTCAACAAAGACAACTTAGTTGAAAATGAGCAAAGAAAACTTAATTTAGAATATTTGGATACATTACCAAAGTTGCTAGCTATAATAAAATTAGTACTTTTATCCTACCTCTTTGTGTGGGTGTGGTTTTCAGTTTGTAGGTATGTATGACAGAGAGAAAGATGCAAATATGTGGCAGAAGGAAAGTATTTTAATCAGGTATTACTGCAGTAATTTTTCATGTAGAAACCATTTTGGCTCTGCTGAAAAATAAATCTATCACTTAAAGAAAGTGACAACTGGAGAACATGATTTGCTTGTGATTCAGGTCTGAGAATCAGAAAAAATCTGGGTTGTTACAAGAGCTCTAACATTCCATATTTTTTTTTCCTTTAAACACTCACCGTTTTTGGTAAGAATAACTGAGAGATACTCTTTGTAGAAAGAGCTCACATAAAGCAGTAAGCTTGGAGTCCTTGTTGTCCGAAAGGTAAATGTGATTGCTTCCCTGATCAAGGTCATGTCAGCATAAAAAGAAGAAGCATGCGAACTAGAATTTTTAGTTAAGGTGTAATATTCTTGAAAATTGTATGTCACTGAGGTACCGACTCCAAAATAGGCAGACATCTCTGAAACAACACATAATTTAATTTTGTCAACATCAAGTAACCAGTAACCAAATATCAGGGTTTTCTTCTTCACAGAAAGGATTAAACATATGCACAGTTACTATGAATACATCAGCAAAGAAATATCAGTAGCACATTACTTAATATCATGTATAATAATATGAGCCTGGATTGTCCCCACCCAAATCCACACCTGGGCTAGGTACAGGCATTCAAAAAGCCCAAAGCAAAATTGACCCAAGTTACATGGTTTCCTGTAAGTGGCATACTTTAGATCAGACAATTTCAGTAAACAGAAAACACATCTGACTTTTGGTGGGGGAAGCAAATCTTCTGCTATTTTTAAACCAATTTATGTGAGCTGAACTTCTGTTCTGTTACAGGTATAAACTGGTTTCTGACCATTTAAAAGTGTAATGTCTGTACCTGGCCATGGAGGGAATTTCCCCATATTGAATGGAAGTGGATTCAAACATTTCTGTTGCACCCTCCTTGGTCACAATGGAGGCTCTATGGCTCTAAATTCAACATTGTAATAGGGGGAAAAAACCGAGAGGCAGCAGAAAAGGCTAGAGTGAACAGGCTGAATCCAAGGGGGAGAGAATATTCCCTTTTTTCTCAGTGCCTGAACTATAATACATCCTGGTACTACATTATCTTTCCCACATAGCTCCCACACCCCAGGGACATTTTTGAAAAACTGCCATGACCTGATCCATTGTACTTCTATATACAAGTACTACACTGATAGTATTCTATTCTATATAGATTGGAGATGAATAAATCCTATTACTGTAGGCAATGCCATGCTTTCAACTGCAGCATATAATTAGTCCCAGGTCCCAACAGTATTTATGTTAATTCTATTTAGCGCAGTTTAAAACTTTCCAAACATTGATTCCAGTCCTAAATGCAATCTTATCCTACAAATACATTTACTGCAGCATGTATTTTCAAGATTTCAGGGAATTAGATCTAAATTGTCTTTCTTTGCTATGAGGTATTTGAAATGCATTTTTGCTACGGTGGTATATTGCTTTCCATAGTGCAATGAAGGTTACATCTGGATATCAGTTGAAAAGATGCAATATGAATTTCAAGGATGTTCAAGTTAAAAAAATAGTTTTTTAAAGAAAAAATGTTCTTTATTCTACCAGATTGCAGATTTTCTTAAAAAGCTGATTACTGGTAGTTTCCCCAAGATGACCCCTACCTACAGCAGTGTCTGGATTCATTTGGCTCTTAAGTATATCTCTGGAAATTCATTAGCTGCATAATGATACCAATGATAGAGGCTCATGCAGTTTCTTTAGTATTGTTGTGACAGAAATGGAATACATGGTTGAATGGTATCCCCCCCCCGCCCCAGATTTAAACAGCCTTTTGAAATATGGATTG